AGCTAAACACGTGGCTACAGGGCTGGTGTAGGAGGGAGGGCTTCCATTATGTGAATAATTGGAGCACATTCTGGGGAAGGTGGAACCTGTACAGTAAGGATGGGTTGCACCTGAACTGGAAGGGCACAAATATCCCGGGAGGGAGGTTTGCTAGAGCTATACGGGATGGTTTAAACTAGTTTGGCAGGGGGTGGAGAACCAGATTTGTAATTCAGAGGATGAGGTATTCAGTCTTTCAACAGACACAACAGGGAGTGAGGTGGTTTATAAAGAAATGCGGTCGATGGAGTGTAATTGTGGACACGGAGATGGTTTGAGGTCTGTATACTTCAATACAAGAAGTGTCAGAAATAAGGCAGGTGAACTTAGAGCATGGGTCGGTACTTGGAACTACAATGTTGTGGCCATTACAGAAACTTGGGTAACTCAGGGACAGGAATGGTTATTGGAAGTTCCGGGATTTAGATGCTTTAAAAGAAATAGGGAGGGTGGAAAAAGAGGCGGTGGAGTGGCATTGCTAGTCAGGGCCAGTATAGCAGCTACTGAAAGGCAGTTCAAGAATGATATGTCTACAGAGTCAGTTTGGGTTGAAGTCAGGAACAAGAAAGGAGCAGTCACTTTGCTGGGGGTTTTTTACAGACCCCCTAATAGTTGCAGAGAAGTAGAGGAGTGGATTGGGAGGCAGATACTGGAAAGGTGCAGAAGTCACAGGGTTGTAGTCATGGGTGACTTCAACTTTCCAAATATTGATTCGAAACTTTTTAGTTGTAATAGTTTCGATGGAGCGGATTTTGTCCAGTGCATTCAGGAAGGATTCCTGACACAGTATGTAGATAGACCAACACAAGGAGAGGCCACTTTGGATTTGGCGCTTGGCAACGAACCGGGCCAAGTGTTAGACCTGTTGGTAGGAGAGCATTTTGGTGGTAGCAATCATAACACTGTTACTTTTACAATAGTCATGGAAAAGGATAGGTACAGACAGCAGGGTAAGATTTATAAGTGGGGGAAGGGTAATTACAATTCTGTTAGGCAAGAACTGGGTAACATAAAATGGGAACAGGTGCTGTCAGGTAAGAGCACTATTGAAATGTGGAGATTGTTTAAGGAATGCATACTGCGTGTGCTCGATATGTTTGTCCCCAGCAGGCAGGGAAGATGTGGTCGAGTGAGGGAGCCATGGTTCTCAAGAGAGGTCGAACGACTGGTTAAGAGGAAGAAGGATGCTTATATAAGGTTTAGGAAACAAGGAACGGAAAAGGCTCTCAAGGGATACAAGTTGTACAGGAAGGAGCTGAAGAAAGGGCTTAGGTGAGCTAGAAGGGGGCATGAGAAAACCTTGGCAGATAGGATCAAGGAAAACTCCAAGGCTTTTTACACGTACGTGAGGAATAAGAGAATGACCAGAGAAAGGGTAGGGCCGATCAAGGATTGTAAAGGGAATTTGTGCACGGAGCCTAAAGAGATAGGAGAGGTCCTTAATGAATACTTTTCTTCGGTATTCACAACTGAGAGGGACCTAGTTGTAGAGGAGGACAGTGTGAAACAGGCTGGTACGCTAGTGGAGGTTGATGTTAGTAAGGAAGATGTACTAGGAATTTTGAGGAACTTGAAGATAGATAAGTCCCCCAGGCCTGATGGGATTTATCCAAGGATTCTATGGGAAGCGAGGGAAGAGATCACAGGGCCTTTGGCGATGATCTTTTCATCCTCACAGTCCACGGGTGTAGTGCCGAAAGATTGGAGAGAGGCAAACGTCATTCCCTTGTTCAAAAAAGGGAACAGGGATAACCCCAGAAATTACAGGCCAGTTAGTCTTACATCAGTGGTGGGCAATTTATTGGAAAGGGCTCTGAGAGATAGGATTTATGATCACTTGGAAAGGTACAGCTTGATTTGTGATAGTCAGCATGGATTTGTGAGGCGTAGATCATGCCTCACAAACCTTATTGAATTCTTTGAAGAGGTGGCCAAACACGTGGATGAAGGTAGAGCAGTGCATGTGGTATACATGGATTTAAGTAAGGCATTTGATAAGGTTCCCCATGGTAGGCTCATGCAGAAGGTAAGGAGACATGGGATAGGGGGAAATGTGGCAGATTGGATTCAGAATTGGCTGACCCTTAGAAGACAAAGGGTGGTAGTGGATGGAAAATATTCAACGTGGTGCTCAGTTACAAGTGGTGTACCACAAGGATCCGTTCTGGGTCCTCTTCTATTTGTGATTTTTGTAAATGATTTGGATGAAGGAGTGGAAGGGTAGATTAGTAAGTTCGCAGACGATACAAAGGTGGGTCGAGTTGTGGATAGTGCGCAGGGCTGTTCTAGGTTACAAAGGGACATTGATAGGATGCAGAGCTGGGCTGAGAAGTGGCAGATGGAGTTTAACCCTGAAAAGTGTGAGGTGATTCATTTTAGAAGGACAAACTTGAAAGCAGAATACAGGGTTAACGGAAGGATTCTTGGCAATGTGGAGGAGCAAAGGGATCTCGGGGCTCATGTCCACAGTGCCCTGAAAGCTGCCACCCAGGTGGATACAGTTGTTAAGAAGACGTATGGTGTGTTAGCTTTCATTAATAGAGGGATTGAGTTCAAGAGCCGTGAGGTTATCCTCTAACTATACAAAAGCCTGGTTCAGCCACATCTGGAGTATTGTGTCCAGTTCTGGTCGCCTCATTACAGGAAAGATGTGGAAGCGTTGGAAAAGGTGCAGAGGAGATTTACCAGGATGTTGCCTGGAATGGAGGGAAGATCTTACAAGGAAAGGTTGAGAGAGCTAAGGCTTTTCTCTTTAGAACGACGAAGGATGAGAGGTGACTTGATAGAGGTGTACAAAATGATTAGAGGTATAGATAGAGTGGACAGCCAGAGACTTTTTCCTAGGGTGGAGGTAGCTATTACGAGGAGGCATAGTTTTAAAGTGAGTGGAGGTAGATATAGGGGACATGTCAGAGGTAGGTTCTTTACTCAGAGAGTGGTAGAGGCGTGGAATGCATTGCCGGAGAGGGTAGTGGAGTCGGCCTCATTAGGGGCATTTAAGTGGCTATTAGATAGGCATATGGATGATAGTATAAGGTAGGGGTGCAGGTTAGATAGACCTTAGGTTTAGGGTAAAAGTTCAGCACAACATCGTGGGCCAGAGAGCCTATACTGTGCTGTACTGTTCTATGTTCTATGTTCTGATCATTAGCACTGCTGCCTCACAGAGCCAGGGACTTGGGTTCGATTCCATCCTCAGGCGACTGTCTGTGTGGAGTTTGCACATTCTCCCCGTGTCTGCGTGGGTTTCCTCCGGGTGCTCCGGTTTCCTCCCACAGTCCAAAGATGTGCAGGTTAGGGTGGATTGGCCATGTTAGGAGGATGTGTGGAGGATGTGCAGATTGGGTGGATTAGCCACGGTTATTGTGGGGTTCCAGGTTTTATGGGGATAGATGGGATGATGTCTGTGCAAACTCAATGGGCCAAATGGCCTTTATCTGCTCTGTAGAGATTCTATGAGATTAGAATCTGCCTTACCATATGTTAACTGGTTCCTAAACTGAGTGTTTGCTGATCTTGAATGTAAGACGATAAAAACCTTGTATTTATGTACAGGTAGATTCTCTCAAAACCAGAGTTGTCAGCAAACCACACATTTTTCAGAGCATGCCACCCAGACAAGCTGGGCAGTGCATGGTACTGAAAGTGGTGACTGTTTCATCACCTGTGAGCCTGTCCCCTCCCACACTCAAAGTGACCAGCGGCCCTGCCCAACTCGAATTTGCCCAAGCTGCTCACTACCCAACCTAAAATCCTGCACGATCCATAGTCGAGTGTGGTCTCAGTGCAGGGGCTGCTGGATCTGAGAGTGTAACACCTTTCACAATGGCTAAAGTGCTTTGTAATAAATGAAGAATCTTTGAGTGTAGCCACTATTGTACCGTAAAGTACAGCAGCCAATTTATGCAAAGCAAGATCCCACATAGAACAATGTGATGATGACCAGGTAATCTGTTTTAGTGACGTTGATTGAGGGATAAATATTGATTCCAAGATCTTGAGGAGAACATTTCATCAAAATAGCAAACATGAGATCTCCTCTATCATTCTAAGAGAATACGCATTTTTTTTATTTAATGCAGCACTTCCTCAGTACTAGCTGAGAGTCTTAAGCTAGACTTTACTTTTCTCCACAGTTGCTGCAATGAGAATTGAACCAACAGTTTTTGCCTCACAGCAAAGAGATCTACCTGCTGAGCTACAGCTGATGCATGTTACTAACCCCGCTGAAACATGATATCACAAGCTTCATCAATGTTTTTGTGGGACCAGGAGATGCACAAAATAATAATTCTTCATATTCAGACCTGTCTCTGGTTTCACTCACTTTGTTTCTGTAATTACTTCCAGACCAAGGGAATTCCCTCTGGGTGGAACAGTGGTTAGCACTGCTGCCTCACAATGGCAGGGACCCAGGTTTGAATCCAGCCTTGAGTGACTATCTCTATGGAGTTTGCATGTTCTCCCCATGTCTTCCGGGTGCTCTGGTTTCCTCTCACAGTCCAAAGATGTGGAGGCTAGGTAGATTGGCCATGCTAAATTACCCCATAGTGTCCAGGCATATGCAGTTTAGATGGATTAGCCGTGGTAATGCAGGATTACAGGTATGGAATGGGATGCTCTCTGGAGAATCAGTGCAGACCTGATGGGCTGAATGGCCTCTTTCTGCACTGTAGAGATTCTGTGGTTCTCTAAGCCTCTCCACACCAATCCTTTTAAGATGTTTCTTAAAATCAAATCTTTGTCAAGCTTTAGGTCACCCACACTATTACACCCTGTCTTACCTGGCTCAGTCACATCTTGTTTGATGACATACCTATGAGGCAGTTTGGAACATTTCACCATGTTACAGGCTGTATATAATGTAAGCTGTTTGCTGTTGTTTTTCTGAATCACCTGTTCATCACTGGTGCTCAGGTGAAGCTGCAAAACCTCAACTTAACTTTTCTTTATCTTTTCTTAAAAGGAGAAATTGCGTAAGCTCCGAGAGATCATTACAAAGGACCGGTATGATGTAGAGGATCGCTATGGTAATACAAATGTTCACTCAATTTATTTGTTAAAACCGTGTTGGTACTTCAACTTGAGGCCTCCATCAGTTTAAACAATCACATTTAGTTTGAGGAAACCTCCAAGGAGTGTATCCACCTCAGCAGCACCTCACAAGGGATTTTTTAAAATTTGATTTGATATAATTTAATTTACGAAGTACAGTGAAAAGTTTTGTTTTGTGAGCAGTACAGGCAGAACATGGCAAACGAGGACACACAGATTATAGGGAGCTTAGACAGAGTGAGGCATACAAGGTTACAGCTACACAAGAGGTGCACAAAGCACAATCAACATTATTTGAAATAAGAGGTCCATTCAGCAGTCTAATAACGGCAGGGAAGAAGATCTTTCCTGAGCCTGTTGGTGCATGTGATCAAGCTTCTGTATCTTTTGCCTGATGGATTCAGTTTATTCTTTGAACATCATTGGCTGGGCCAGCATTTTTGCCCAACCAAATTGCCCTGGAGAATGTGGAGGTGATCTGCCTTCTTAAATTGCTGCAGAGTGTAGGAACATCCACAGATATTGAAGCAGTCCATGTTCAAATGCAACAATACCTGGACAATAACCAGGCTTGAGCTGAAAAGTGTCAAGTAACATTGGTGGCATGCAAACACCAACTCCAATAAGAGACAATCTAATCACCGCCCCTTGACATTCAATATGTTACCATCACTGAATCCCCCACTATCAGCATCTTTGGGGTTGCCATTGACTAGAAACTCAACAGGACACACCTTAGATCCTTCAACAACAACTTCCAAACCCACAACCACTTCCATCTAGAAGGACAAAGGCAGCAGATACATGGAACACCACCCCCTGCAAGTTCCCCTCCAAGCTACTCCCCATCCTGACTTGGAAATATATCGCCATTCCTTCAGTGTCACTGGAACAAAATCCTGGAATTCCCTCCCTAAGGGACATTGTGGGTCTAATGGACTGCAGTGGTTCAAGAAGGCAGCTCACCCCCACCTTCTCAAGGGGCAACTAGGGTCAGACAATAAATGCTGGTCCAACCAGTCATGCCCACCTCCCTCAAGTGAATAAACAAAAATTCCCACTTTGTCAGTTTGAGAATTAGAGTTGCGTTTTTAACAATATTTATAACAAACATTTGGAACAATACATTTTGCAAAATGGTATAAGGCTGTCATTTTTTCACTGAAAACACACCTAGTCCTTGAGGGAAGGAAATCATCTGCTCTTATCCATTTAGGCTGTGGACCCATGGCAATGGGGTTGAGTCATTCAGTAAAACATTCAGTACTAAAACTGTAAGGAGGGTCAGTAATTGTCTCTAGTACCTTCCCAGGGAAAAGACAGATGGCCAACAAATACTGGCTTTACCAGCAATGCCTACATCTCCAGAATGAATAAAAAGAAAAGATTACATACCTCACGTTAGAAAGAAGAGCAGAAATCACTAAATCTACAACTGCATGCTTATTTTTCCTTCACAGATAAAATCAAAATAGTTCATCCTTCAGATGGTGAGTTGATTTATTTGTTTAAGAAATTTGAGATGACTTTAATTTCCCCACATAGCTTTTAAAGATATTTTAAAGGGAAAAATTAATGTTAAAATTTTGATTTAAAAACAGATCTGCATCAACATAAATGCTTAAGTTGTCAGAAGGTTGAGGAAAGAGCTGGGAAATGGGTACAATTGAAATAGTATATGATTCTAGGTCAGTAAGTCATTTTATCTACAACAGATTACTGGGCCGAATGTATCTCCCCAGATAGTTTGGGTGGTGAGCACATTTAATCCTTTTGGCAGGATTTTATGCTGTCCAGCAGCAGGTTTGAAGACAGTGACCACACAAAATTCAGTGGGTTGCCATCTCTCCCCTGCCCTGACCTGGCAGATAGAGTTTAATTTAGATAAATGTGAGGTGTTGCATTTTGGTAAAGCAAACCAGGGCAGGACTTACATAGTTAATGATAAGGCCCTGGAGAATGTTGCCAAACGAGAGACCTTGGGGTATAGGTTCATAGTTCCTGGAAAGTGGAGTCGCAGGTAGACAGGGTAGTGAAGAAAGCATTTGATATACTTGCCTTCATTGGTCAGAGCATTGAGTATAGAGAATAGAGTAAGGGTCACCAGACCCGAAACGTTAACTCTGTTTTCTCCTTCACAGATGTTACCAGACCTGCTGAGCTTTCCAGCAACTTTGTTTTTGTTCATTGAGTATAGGAGTTGGGAGGTCATGTTGCAGCTGTACAGGACATTGGTTAGGCCACTTTTAGAATACTGTGTACAATAAGTCGCCCTTCTATAGGAAGAATGTTGTAAAACTTGAGAGGGTGCAGAAAAGATTTATAAGGATATTGCCGGGACTGGAGGGTTCGAGTTATAGGGAGAGGCTGAATAGACTGGGGCGTTTTTCTCTGGAGCATCAAAGAGTGAGGGGTGACTTTATGGAGGTTTATAAAATCATGAGGGGCATGGATAGGGTGAGTAGCCAAGGTCTTTTTCCCAGGGTTGGGGAGTCCTAAACTAGAGAACTGCCAGAGGAAGTGGTGGAGGCAGGTATAATTACAACATTTAAAAGGCACCTGGATGGGTATATGAATGGGAAGGGTTTAGAGGAATATGGCCAAATGTTAGCAACTGGGACTAGGTCAGATTGAAATGTCTGTTCAGCACAGACAGGTTGGACCAAAGGATCTGTTTCTGTGCTGTATGACTCTATGACACTAAGTCCCTAAGAATTTTGTATGTTTCAATAAAGTTGCCTCTCGTTCTTCTAAATTCCAATATGTACTGGCCTGACCTACTCAACCTTTTCTCATAAGACAGTCCCTACATCCCCATTATCAGCCAAATCCTCTCTGCACTGTCTCCAATATACAAAATGTCCTTTCTTTGCAGATGGTAGTAAAAAGAATGACGACAATGTGTACAACGTTCCAGCAGCAAGAGGACAAGAGGTATGGTCATCATTTCCAGTATCTGACCTGCTTCTCCTTCTATGCAGTGTGAATGACAAATACCCAGTGAGTGATATTAAATATAGATTATGGATTCAGTCTTTGGAAATAAATATTTTGAGGCATCTCCACCCTTTAAAAATTTAAACACAATGGGAAGTTTGCAATTTTACATTTTTTTTCATGACCTTATAATTATGCCTTTAGGAGTGAATTGTTTCGAATTTAGTTGTCACATCTTAACACATTTCAAAATCTGAAGTACAAATAGCTTCATGTTGCAGCTGTACAGGACCTTGGTTAGGCCACTTTTAGAATACTGTGTACAATAAGTCGCCCTTCTATAGGAAGAATGTTGTAAAACTTGAGAGGGTGCAGAAAAGATTTATAAGGATGTTGCCGGGACTGGAGGGTTCGAGTTATAGGGAGAGGCTGAATAGACTGGGGCTTTTTTCTCTGGAGCATCAAAGGGTGAGGGGTGACTTTAAGGAGGTTTATAAAATCATGAGGGGCATGGATAGGGTGAGTAGCCAAGGTCTTTTTCCCAGGGTTGGGGAGTCCTAAACTAGAGAACTGCCAGAGGAAGTGGTGGAGGCAGTTTCCAATCTGGATATTTTCTAATCAATCTGTTCAGAGAGATGTTAATACACATCTCTGGAGCAGATGGGGACTTAAACCCAGGCCTCCTGGCTCAGAGACAGAAAAATTACCACTGTGCCACAAGAGCCTTTTTTTCAGTTTTCCTCTCTAGATATTTTCCGACCAACCTGGCAATATATGTTATGACACATATCTGGAACAGATAGCTTTGGAATTGGGCCTCCTGGCTCAGAGGAGGAACACTGTCACTCTGTCACAAGAGCCCTGTGAACAGGGCAGTGCACCTACAGGCAAATATTTTGAGGCATTCGACATGACATTAGATGTTTATTTGGATAGAAGTGGTATGCAAGGATATGGAGAAAAAGCAGGAGATTGACACTGGGTAATAGAACACACAATGAAACAATTGGCCTCCTCCTGCATGATAATAATACTGTGACACAGTTATTTTTAAGCAACCTGTTTAGACAGGTTATAGTACATTTCTGGGGCAGGTCAGACTTGAACCCAGACTTTCTGGTTTACAGGTAGGGACACCACCGGTGTGTCACAAAAACCCTTCTTCCAATTTTCCATTCTATTTATTTTCATATCCTGAAATACTCGTACGGACAACTGAGCATTTTCCCACAACCAAATCACCCATGATATCTTTTCATCTACTAGCCACCACAAGGAAATCACTCATATTTTCCAATTGACGAATTTATATGCAAAGTCTGTTTAGGGCAATGCAGACCATCAAAGATGAGGGAGAGGGAGGGTGAAAGGGAGAGGGAGGATGAAAGGGAGAGGTAGGGTGAAAGGGAGAGGGAGGATGAAAGGGAGAGGTAGGGTGAAAGGGAGAGGGAGGGTGAAAGGGAGAGGGAGGATGAAAGGGAGAGGTAGGGTGAAAGGGAGAGGGAGGGTGAAAGGGAGAGGGAGGGTGAAAGGGAGAGGACTAAATCAGAATGGAAGCGGTAATAAAACATTGTACCCAATGTGGTGCCCACTCCTCTCTAAAGGCATAGAGAGTATCAGCGGCCTCTTCATCGCCAACTGTGACCCCTTCCACAGTCCACTGCCTGGACCTGTTATCACCTGACCGGGTCAGGCCCAGGAGCAGACCTGCGAGCATGTTCTCCTACCTGCCCACACCCCTCTGCACCGGGTGCACAAAGATCAGGAGCGTCAGGCTGAAGTACAACCAAAAATACAACAAAAGAGATTTCAAGTAACTGAAATGGGGGGGGTCCAACATCGCACAACTAATGCATACATCGTCCACAGACTCCATAGCTCCACAAAATAAACAGTTGGGCTGGGATACTGTGAACTGCCACAATCTGCGGTTAAACAGGAATTCTGCACGCAACACCCTTCACCACAGGTCCCTGTAGGAAGTTGGGAAGATTCTCACGTGTAGAGCCCCTCCATGGGAGGAACGTAGCAGTGAAAAAGCATACCAAGTGTGTGCACGTAGCAAATGAAGGAGTAGAAGTGGATGGTGTGCAGCAGCAGCGTATCCTAAAGCCTCCTCCTCACCAGGTGGATCACTTATGTTTGTAAATATTTTAATCAATATGTTAATGACACATCCCTGGAGCAGGTGGGACTTGAAGCCAGGCCTTCTGGCCCAGAGGCAGGGACACTCCCACTGCACTATAAGAGCCCTGTTTTCAATTTATGATTCTGGGATATTTTCTAATCGAATGGCTCACAGATGTTATTACATACCTCTGCAGTAGGTGGGATGCCTAAAATGCATTGTCTGACCTGGGATGTCTCCTCTGGCATACTGAGGGAACTGATAAAACATTTAGTTATCTTGGGGCAGTGATTTGAAAGAAATTCTGGAATTTGCATATTAATCCTTTCTAACTGATTAAAGATTTAATGGCCATCTTAGGTTTGTTCAATACATTCGCATCAGTTATATGACCCTTTGATCTTTTATTTATAAATTCTGTGTCTGATACCACTTCTGTCATTAACACCTGAAGAAGGAACGAGACTCCGAAAGCTTGTGATTTCAAATAACCCTGTTGGACTACAACACGATGTCATGTGATTTTTGACCTCGTCCACCCCAGTCCAACACTGGCCCCTCCACATCACATTTGCCTCCAAATGCATTCCAAAATGGCCCCAGGACTCCTCAGTCACAGCTGCTCCACTCCATCCATCTCCTTTCCCTCTCTTCACTTTTGTGTTCCTTTTTCATTCTTTCTTCTCTGCAATGTCCTGAACTCCCAGCCTCAGCATGAACTCGGATTCGTGACCTCAGCGCACACCGCTCTGGTGGAGTGATCTCTTGGCCCAGCATGGTGATTGCTCAGCTTGACATAGCAGTCTCCAAGCCCAGTGACCTATCAGCCTGGAATGCTGACCCGGCATGGCCTCAGCATGGACCTCTAGCCCTAAGGTGATTCCAGAATGGTCTCCTGGCCTTGAGGCGATTCCAGAATGGTCTCCTGGCCTTGAGGCGATTCCAGAATGATCTCCTGGCCTTGAGGTGATTCCAGAATGGTCTCCTGGCCTTGAGGTGAAGCACAGCATGGTCTGGAGTCAAGGCCTGGTGCAGACTAGAGGCTAGGTGCCAGACTGGATTGGACAGACTGTTAATCTGAACTTTTTATATCTCTATTTTTCTAATTTATTCCTATGAATTGCAATGCTGGACTTTTTATTCCATTATTTTTCTAATTTGTTTTCCTAAGAATTTGTTCTTAGGTATCTTTGTACCTGAGACGGCGCCTTATGTGGCAACTTGCAAACTCTTCATTGTACTGCACTCATTTGAGTACACGTGGCAACAAAGCTAATTCCAATTCTATTCTGTTCTATTCTATTCTAAATTCAGATTCAGAAAGATGTAAAAGCAGTGGGGTAGTGATCATGTGGGACCACAGTTATCCTAATATAGACTCAGACAGTGATATAAAGAGCAAGGAAAGGAGGTGTTCCTGAAATGTGTACACAGGTCTTTCTTGTTCAGTATGCTCCAATCCAATAAAGAAGGAAATATTAGTGGTAGTAGGAACTGCAGATGCTGGAGAATCCGAGACAACAAGGTGCAGGGCTGGATGAACACAGCAGGCCAAGCAGCATCATAGGAGCAGAGAGGCTGACGTTTCGGGCCTCGACCCTTCATCAGAAAAGGGGGAGGGGAAGGGGGTTTTGAAATAAATAGGGAGAGAGTGGGAGGCGGATAGAAGAGGGATAGAGGAGAGGATAGGTGGAGAGGAAACAAACAGGTCGAAGAGGCGGGGATGGGGCCAGGAAAGGTGAGTGTAGGTAGGGAGTTAGGAAGGGGATAGGTCAGTCCAGGGAGGACGGACAGGTCAAGGGGGCGGGATGAGGTTGGTCGGTAGGAGATGGAGGTGCGGCTTGAGGTGGGAGGAGGGGATAGGTGAGAGGAAGAACAGGTTAGGGAGGCAGGGACGAGCTGGACTGGTTTTGGGATGCGGTAGGGGGAGGGGAGATTTTGAAACTTGTGAAATCCACATTGATACCATTAGGCTGCAGGGTTCCCAAGCGGAATATGAGTTGCTGTTCCTGCAACCTTCAGGTGGCATCGTTGTGGCACTGCAGGAGGCCCAGGATGGACATGTCGTCTGAGGAATGGGAGGGGGAGTTGAAATGGTTCGCGACTGGGAGGTGCAGTTGTTTATTGCGAACCGAGTGTAGGTTCTTTAAGAAACTCCCTGAAATCTTCTTGGTTTGAACTTGCAGACACTTGTCCTAATAGCTTCTTGTGGTTAGGAGCCAAACCTTCGCTGATATGTGATAGCAAAACATCTTTGGAACTTTTACTTTGGTAAAAATGCTACATAAATTCAAGCTGCTTTGTTGTAGATCTCCTCTAATTACATCTGTTGGGAAGGTTAGTAGCAAAATAGTTGTATTGACCAGTCCCCATCCTGTGTATCCTATAATTGGACAATTATTGAGTTACATGGGCTCTGGTATTGACTGATCTTGGTGCAGAGTGAAAGAGACAATGAATAAATGATGGCAAGATCATGATTTGGCTTTTGCAATAGGAACAAGAAAATATTGGAAGTTAATATGACTGTGGCAACTATTCTGCATTTTTAAAAAAATGGTGACTTCCAATGGTGGAGAGGAGCTGAACTAATCAGCCACTTACTGAAAAGTAACTGCTCCCATGTGTAGTCTGTAATTCCTCATTCAGTATGGAAGTTTCCTCACAGAGATACAGTGAGACAACTCTACACCAGTTTCTTATCTTCCCACCGTAAGAGACAGACAGGATTAGACAAGCTGATAAGGGAGAAACTATTCCCACTGGAAAGTTGGTCACAGCTGAAAAAACACATTGAAGATAGCTGAAAAGGAGAAGTTGGGGGTCAGGGTTAGGAGAATTATTATAGGCAACGAGTTGTTATGATCTGGAATGCACTGCCTGAAAGAAGATAGTAGGAAATACTAAATATTATTGCTTGGTCAAAGAGGTAGGTTTTAAGGACCATTTTAATGGAGAGAAGCAACCGGTTGGATTGATGTCAGCCAGAAGAGATCACAAGAATGTCAAAAATCAAATGTTATTGCCCAGGAACTTTCCACATGTAATGATTTGACTTTATGTTAGTGTTTCAGCAAAAGACTGGAAAAGGTACCAATGACAAGCTCGGCAATGCCCCTAAAAGAGGTATGAAACCTTGTCATTGATGTTTCTTTGTGCTAACTTTGGTTTTGAAATATTGCTAATCAAACATTGTCAAAGTTGATTTTCAGACCGTGTGCCACCTACATATACATTCACAATGGAGAATCCAGAGCAGGCACCTCATAAACCAGTGTGTCCAACTGATGGGCAAGGCTGACTCCTGGTGGCAATCATCTGGAAAATCACCCACATATTTTCTTCGCCATTTTCTTCTTCATCAATCAGCAAGCATTTGAATATCTGTATATTTTAATTAATTATTTCTCAGAATTAGAGAAAAGTGTAGCCTGATAATGTTTTAGAATGAAAATTCATTACTTATATTGTACAGTAATTTTAAATGAAATAATTCCATTATATTTGAGTGCAGTCAATTGTACATGATTTTTAAGAAAAAGAAATCAATATTTTGCTGAGAATCCTTCAGATGATTATATTTTATAGAATTATAACCAGTTGCCGTGACCTTTGCAGACTCCAATATACCACACTAAATTCTCACTTTTTCTACTCCAGTTGACTGCTCTTGACTAGAGACAAATTACTGAGCACTGCATGGTTTGTAGCTGACTCTTCGCTGTGGTCACATGTCTGCACTAGACTGGTACAGAGGTAGATTAGAATGGTCTGAAATACCTCACTCCAATATTTTAACTATTTTGCTGCAAAAAAAATCTTTTTTTAAAACCTGTTTATGACTAAATTAATCATCAGAAAAGTTGCAAGTGTTATGAGCACATACAAGCATGCACACAGTCTCACGTGCTTACACACTCCCATATCAACTCACACTCACTCACACTTGCACAGACACATGCACACAGACTCATGTACATTCACACACAGTCATTCACAATTACATACATGCATACTCATACACAAGGGTATGTGTGTGTACACTCACACATTCAAATCTGCACACATGTTCACACACACAGATTTACAGATACATTCACTCACACATCACAAGTACACCCCCACAGGCACATTTACAAATACATAGACTCATTCATTCATGCTCTCGTACATTCATGTACAAGACAACAAACACACGTTGATGTATGTGCATACGCACATTCACGTGCATTCGTGCTCACATGTAGTTGTGTGCACACTTACAGATATACTCACGTGCACATGCACATACTTCTGCATTCACACGTGTACATGCACTCATGTTCAAACTAGCATCAACATTCATGTTCAAATACACATGCACACATGAACCCATTCACATACACATAAACACACATGGACAGGTACAATTTTATACACTTAAGTACACACACACAAGTTCATATGGATGGACATGCACTTGTGCATGTTTCATGCACACACATGCTCACACACGTGCAAGCTCATATGCACATGCATCCATTCACACACAGATGCTCACGCACACATGCCCTCTCTCACACACACGCACATGTTCACCCCCATGCACATGCACACTTACAATACACACACACACATGCATGCACTCACACAATGAAGGAATTGCAACTGTGCACAGTTCTGGTCTCCATATGGATAACAAATTTACAAGAATGCCACTAGAATTTGAGAAATTACAACTGTGAGGAAAGATTGAACAATCTAGGACTCTTTTCTTTCATAAAGAGGAGGCTGCGTTGTGATAGAAATCTTTAAAATTCCAAAAGGCTTTTATATGGGAGATGTACAGAAGATATTTTGAATTGCAACTATGAAAAATCTTGAATCGTTTTAAAGTTGTCACTAATAAATCCAATAGAGAATTCAAGAGTGCACTGGCAACAGAGAAGGTTAAATTGGATTACAGCCAGAAATGTGTACAGGGATTGAGATTGTGATGAATCCTTATTTTGGAAGCATTTTTTGTGCTCAGAAGCCAGCAATCTTCAAATTAGCATTCAGAACTCACTCAGTCCTGAGAGTTACCAGGTGGCTACATTCAAACCTGCCCAAGGGAGGGACCTCTTGCAAGGTATTCGATAGATGACTCAAAACTATTCTGGTGGGTCACTGAAGAGGAGTTCAAAGATTACAGGTAGTTGGAAAAAGGATTACTCCATTAGGAGTACAGCAGTTAACTGTATTTCTAGGAAGGCACTGAAGTAAACAGATTTTGTGTTTTGAGGACCCAGGGAAGTCCTACAGCAGTTGAATAGCTCTGGTGGATCAAGGCTCAGGGAAGTCCTAGGAGCCATGGAGGATTTGACAGACACCTGTGTACAATTAATCGTTCAGTACAACTGAGAGTGGGCTCAACCAGCCCAAGAGCAGTATTTCCTTGAAACAACTGACCAAGATTAGAATTCATGAAAAATCAAAGGAGAAAAACTAGAGGGTATAGTTTATAGTTTAAGGTGAGAAGGGAAAGATTTGAAAGGGACCTGAAAGACAACTTCTTCACGCAGAGAGTGGTGCGTATATGCCCGAGGAAGTAGTAGAGGCAGGTACAATTATAACATTTAAGACATTTGGGCAGGTACATGGATAGGAAAGGTTTCAGAGGGATATGGACCAAACACAGGCAGATGGGACTACTTTAGTTTAGGAAACCTGGTCAGCATGGACAAGTAGGGCCGAAGGCCCTGTTTTAGTGGTGCATGACTCCTTAACTCTATATAACTCCATGACTTGATAGAGGTGTACAAAATGATCAGAGGTATAGATAGAGTAGACAGCCAGAGACTTTTTCCTAGAGTGGAGGTAGCTATTACAAGGAGGCATAGTTTTAAAGTGAGTGGAGGTAGATATAGGGGAGATGTCAGAGGAAGGTTCTTTACTCAGAGAGTGGTAGGGGCATGGAATGCATTGCCGGAGAGGGTTGTGGAGTCGGCCTCATGAGGGGCATTTAAGCGGCTATTAGATAGGCATAGGGATGATAGTATAAGGTAGGGGTGGAGGTTAGATAGACCTTAGGATTAGGGTAAAAGTTCGGCACAACATTGTGGACCAAAGGGCCTGTACTGTGCTGTACTGTTCTATGTTCTATGTTCTAAGTAGTACTGGCCCAATGAAGCTTGATGAAGAGCTCAAATTTTGCCTGTGAGAAAGTACAGTTTCTAGAGTCTAGGGGAATGGAAAAGAAAGATGATTGATCAGAATGGGAAAGAAAGATGATTGATCAGA